CCTCTTAAGTTATTTTTTGATAGTTTATATAAACAACACACTTATTTATAATTTGGGTTCTATATTTAATCTTAACATTAATGTATAGAAAAATTTATAAAGATTTTTTAATCATTATTCTGAAATATTCAAATTATATATATATATATATATATATACATATAATATGTGATTCTTTTTATGGATTGGAAATAAATAATCCCTTAATGCGTTTTGAATTCCATGATAAGTTGATTTGAGTGTTTTTCTATTTTGAATCTGCTGTGTTTTACAACTTCATATATATATATATATATATATATTTATTTGATGTGTCAATTCACAGTAATGCAAAATATTATTCTTGCCTTTTGATGTGTACATACATGTTTTAATGATGAGATTGTATCATATATATCATGTAATATATGTTTATAAATATACATATACACATCCATATAAATTATTTTTGACTGCAAAAGTTTAATTGGGTGCTTGTGTAGACATTTAAATTAACAAATATTCTTTTTCATGATTATCAAAGTTATTTTTTCTTTTTTTTCAAATTTCCTGCAGGTGAAGTAGCATTTGGAGGATTCCAACATGCACACAGATTTTACATGTGATCATATGAGTTGCTCAAAGTCAGAGTAAATCATACATATTTGTTTGAATATTTTATTTTATTATTTTTTAACTCGCGTTTTTCGATGTATAACTCGTTCTATAAATAGAAAGCTAAAACTTCACCAACCAATGCTCCTCTTGAGTTTTTCAAAGGAATTTTACAAAGTAAATATACTTATATTAGCACTTACACCAACCCACTTAAACCAACTTTGGTAATACAATTCCATTCACCGACCTAATCCATCAAATTGAAAAACCTTAATGTATGTATAAGTTAATAAATGTAATCATCAATAACAAAATTCAAAGGCAAGTAACAATTTAGTTTTGGAAGTTAGGCTTGTTTCACATCCACCACCCAAATATACAAAAAAAGCAACCGTGCTGGCAACAAATAATTATGGATTAGATATTAAATATCTGATCAGACAATATTTTATTTTGTAGAATCACTTTATTATCTATTTGGGAATGAGTTATAGAGTATTTGCCCTTCCATATGATCAACCTCTATGACCGTGGCTTTTCGTGACACTCGTGTGAAAAGGGTTTAAAAAAGGAGGTAGATAAGACGGTACATCTTACAATACACTAACTAATGAGAGAGACCTCAATGATACACGAATGAATGTACTGATGGTGGATGATGTATACACTGTTCATTCATCCACGAGGACCGAGTCTGTGCAATGAGAAATGCACCACAACACTGTTAAAGCCACTGTACCCTTTGCTTACTTCTCACACTCAGCGATTCATTATTATATTACACTATATTGTATTTAGTTGTTTATTTTTCAAATATTGGCATTCTTGTGGGGAAAACAGTATTGATTTTTTTATAAAATAAATCATCATTGGCCGTTTTTTATTTTTACTTCATCAATGTCGAATTTGATATTGGTCAGTAAGTTACTTTTATTGGATATTCCTTTTCATTCATAGCCAAAAAAAGAAACAATTTACACTCATGAACAAGTATGAAACATTGATTACGTGTGTTTGATGATAAGTCATATCAAAATTAGTACTTATCAGTTTATATTACAGTGAGACTAAAGTTGACTTCCTTTTCTTTTAGCATTGATTTTGTGATTTTTCTTTTAAAAAATTGAAGGTTGGATCTGGTTTTTAGATTTTTAGATTTATTTTTGAGGTGAGGAAGAGAGTTGTTTTGTAATCAAATAATAAAGGGTTGATATATTTCAGTGACATCTCTGAAGGGAAATAAAACTATGATAATTTAAGGTGCCCACCAAGATTTGTGGGCTAAGTCACACGCCCAGCAACATGTAACATTAGTATCATTCTACACAAAATGATAACAAAATATCAATAAGAAGGCACTGTCAATTTCTTTTTTACGTGCTTTACCCTTACTTGCCTTCGCTAAATAAATAAATAAACCTCATGGAAAAGACAAAAGGTAATTCATATCAAAAGTGCCAATTTTGATATGACTTATCATCAAACACACGTAATCAATGAAAGAAAAGGAATATCCAATAAAAGTAATATCAAAAGTGCCAATTTCGATTTATATTGCTAAACAAACATAGAACATAGGATTGGGCATGCTTGTGGTGATCCCCAAAACCATCTTGTAGTTGGACCTCCCCCCAAGGACAGCCTTCAATGCTCTCCTGTGAACCTCGGTCTTTGAGATTTTATTGCAGCGCCTTAATCTCCAAAATTGCCAATTTTAGGGTTAGGTTTCCTAAATTGGGTCCCAGCATTAAACGAACGAGAAACGTGAATGAAGTTTATTTCCGGTCTTCCGGTGTCCCACAGTGTGCGAATGAGAAGAGGCACTTGGCTTTTGTGGCTGCCACCTTCTTTGGATCACACTCCATTTATATATGCACTCTTCACGCCCACTCACTTATATTATTCATTCCCCCTATATTTTGTTTTAAGGGCAAATTTCCGACTCCGATTTGGTTGGCAGCTTCTAATATAAATCAGCTCCGTTGAATGTTATATTTTACCTAGAGTATCAAAATAGACAAGCATTTGAGTTTTTTTAAATTAGAATCTCAGGGGTGGGTGGGGGGATAAGGGAGCTGGGGACGTTGGCAGGGGGTCCATAACAAGGGGAACACACTCACTCAGGCTTAAGCAAATAAGTCCAATAAGTTATAATTGTGATAAGAAGCCGTAGAAGCCTTCTGGAAGTGGGTTTGTTTGTCTTGTTCTGCTCCTTATTGGCATGTGACACAGAGGTTAAGGGAATCGCAAAACAAATAGAGGCTTCTTCCGCTTCCAATAGCCAGCTTGGATGCCCTTGTGGAGGATGGGGGGATGTGGGCAGGTCCCTTTGTGGGTCAATCCAAAACTGTCCATAGACTTCTGAGGTTAATTATGTGGACCTGTGGAGCCACCCATTGCTAAAATTGGAGAAGGAGGCGGAGGCATAGAGATAAACAGAAAATGAATAGAAAGAGAGAAAGATAGAAGGGGAGGTAGTGGCAATGCCACTTTCCTGTGTTGTCTAATCCTGTTTTCTTTCTCTATTTGGGCATTTGTCTTCAAGAAAAATGCCCAGATCTGGGTTTGGATCTGGGCTGCCTCTTTCACACTGCCACCGAGGTGGAAAGGGATTATCAGATCTTCAGCCATCCCCCACCCTACTCCCGCCCACGGTTATAAGTGGCCTTATGGATGGTGTTTTCGTTACCTTTTTTTTTTTTTTTTTTTTTTTTTTTTTTGGTTTGGTCTCTCTTCAGATCATGCTATAAATTGAAGTGCCTTGGGTTCCATTTATTTTTATATTCCACAATTTTATTTTGATTGTCATGACACACCATTGTCCCAATTCACTATTCAACAATCATTGTTGCTCAATGTATGTTATTGCAAAACTTATCAATCTGTGTGCATGTGTGTGTGGTAATAATAATGTATGTTTCTGTTCTGAGGGTGCACCACCCAAGTACTTTCTTTTTTACCATGTATAATTACGTATATATATATATATATATATATATATACATACTCAAATAAATGCAAGCAAATTACAATTTATCACAAATGTTCAATCTATTGTTTCTATATTCAGTATTAATTTTATTTTGATCTTTGGCAAAACATTGTTTTTTTAAATGTCTAAAGTCACATTAACAACTACTCTAAGCAAAATTTCTATTTTTCTATTTATAGTATTATAGTTAGCATTTGATCATAAAGTAAAGAAGAAGGTCCAATCACTGCAGGCAGAGAATTTTTATGCATCATTGTTTATCATACTGAAAGATTTCAGGATATATGTATACACATTCACATTGTTATCCAACCTTCTTCCCCAATGCATTTACTTCATCTGTTAGTTTTTTTCTGTACACACACATGCATACATGTGTGATAACCAACAATGTTATGCAGAGCTTTAAATTCCTATAGACAATGCAATGAATCATACATTATTATATATTTTAATGTCAAACTGTAATTGTTGAGCCTGTCCATCAAATTAAATCAAATCTGTGTATCTATGTATCTATCTATGTATGTCTATATATATATATATGTGTATATATATATATATATCTATTCATTTTTTCTTTTCAATTTATGCCTTTTCAAAATTTCCATGGAACAGCATTCTCTGTGACTTGCTGTAATCTTATTTTCTCATTGGTTTCAATCAATATTTGAATAGAAATTATGTCTCAAATTCCAAAGAAATAAATAAATTCATACAAAAAGTATACGGTTTAACATCCTTACCTATATATATATAAATCCGTATATATGAATAATATATTAAATTATACTCAAAGTAAAATGCAGTTATATACACAAATAAATAATTAAATAAGGAATTTACGGGTGCGTGTAGATGACGGTATCTGCTCCGTAGACCCACGCATCATGGGTACGATCAGCCTGGCAGAGCAGTAAAACAAAAAAAGAAAAAGAAAAGAAAAAGAAAAAGAAAAACGGAAAAACGGAAAAACGGAAAAAAGAAACGAAAGCAGAACAGCAACCATGGCCAAGCCTGGTGGGTCGAAAGTAACACCATCGTGGAGCCCACCCAGCCCGGCCCAGCTCACTCCCCTCCCCCGTACACGAACTGTCTGTAGGTACACAACCCGTGTACCGTCATACGCTTCATCGACAATACAGGACCCGCCAACCTCACACTCCACGGATATATCCGACACTCCACGTACAACGCACAAAGAACCGTATTAATACAAGGCAGCAAGCAGTACTACTACGGTACATTCCCCGGCCAACATGCCCTGCGGTGGTGGTGGTGGTGGTAGAGAAATACGCGGCGTCGTCGCAACAACAGTATACGAACAGAACAGACAGACTCTCATGGATAGATAGACAGACGCTGCTTCTGCTTCTGCATGCCTTTGTGGCCTCGCTCGTGTCGTATTCACCCCCCCCCCCCCCTCCCCCGAAGGCATGCATGCGCAAGGAGCCAAGGAAAGAAGGAAGCAAGGAACTCTTCTTCGTTCTTCCTCTTTCGGATGCTTGGTTGATGTTGATCTCTGTTCACGGTGGCCTCCTTTTCATTTGTGACTGAACCTTACTGGTTTCTTTGTGCTAGGTTTGAACAGCCGTAGCAGAAGATCAGGGAGAAGAGGGTTGGAACTCGAAGCTGGATGAGGGGGAGAGAGACAGAGGGAGAGTTAGGGGTGGGATTGCTTGACACGCGAGGGGATTCGAGGAGGCGTGGGGTTCACGAGAGTGGCGGAGGATTTGTGGATCCGGGTGGGAAGTGTGTGAGATGAGGTCGGATTGGGTGAGGTTTTGAGGGGCAAGAGTGGTGGAATTTGAGATGCTGCGGAGTGCAGGAGTAGGAGGAGGAGTAGGGAGAGGACTGGTTGGGGATGTTGCGCAAGAGGTGGCTTCGCTCAATGTGCACGAAGACGAGCTTGAGTGTCGGATCTTGGAGTGGTGAGTGTCGAATTCCCGAGCCTGTGTGTTGCGGTGATAGGGTGGCTATGGCTTTTCGCTGTGATGGATGGGATGCAGTGAGTGAGAGAGAGAGAGAGAGAGAGAGAGAGAGTAGGAGAAGCTATAAACTCTGGGATTTGCGGTTTCGGTGGATTGATTTGTATGTATAGTTCTCCGAGATATGTCGTGTATCCTTCTGCAGTGTGTGGTACACATGGAAGTTTGGGAGCTTTCCTAGGTTCTTATCGTTGGTAGCATTGGGACGGCTAGAGTGGAGAGTGATTTTGAGAGCTTCCTGCGAGGATCCTGCGTATTGCCGCCCTTTTTTTGTCTGTTCATGTAATGACATTCTTTGAGTGGCTAGTTCTTGTGGTTCGTTGTGGCTGAGATCTGAGGTTTGTCTCATTGGTCGGTGTCAGCATTCACTGTCGCTTCGGGGTTCGATGTTCGAAGTTGCAGTAGCGTGCAGAACTACGAGGGAATGCCTGAAGTGTTGTAGTTGGATCTTGTTCTGAGACGATTGGGTTGTATTATTGAGCTATTAGTAATTGTAGAGACCGGTTATTCCTCCAAAATGACAGCGCACTCTTTCTATTTACTTCTTTTTAGAGATGACATTGGTCTGAACACATCATCGAAGGCATAATTTGATTATGGTGGGTACCCGTCTTCGGTTACACTACCTTGAGCCCTGAGGCTGGTTCCACTTAGCACCCGTCGCTCACCCTATATGCGTACAAACCGGTCGGCTTTAAGTTGAGAAAAACGAGTGACGAAAATGGGACGGGACTTCCTGCTTCTCACCCAAACTCTAAGTCATCCACCTGAAGTCACATGATTTTTTGTGTTTCCGAGATGGCCGTATTGCATATGTTACCTTGATTGAGACCGTGGGTGGCGCCTAAGCGCTACAGTGAAGCTCAAGTGTTCGTTAGTAGAAGCTCTGGTTTTCCATGTCCTATCTTGGTCTGTCTGATGCCGAATTTCCCCTAAACGCATATTCGAGAATCATGTCTATTCGATTTGTACTTACCTATATCAAAACTTGGTACCAAGAAAGCTGTTTTGACGATCTTTCTATTCTGCCGGCCTTCTCCACATGCCTGTTCTGGCTTTCATGTCTCTTTACTTCTTGCCTTCAAGACTGATTTAATAATTGAGGTTCTTGAAGGATCGTGAGTTTGCGATGTGATAGTTTTGTCTCATGGACTTCTGTACAGTTCCGCGTTAATGCATAGGTTTCTGACCTTCAGTATGATGTATTCACCTCCTCAAAGAAATTCTCTTGCCTTGTTTTCTCGGGAGACTCTTAATAGCTGCCTGACCGTTACGAGATCTACTGTAGCTGAAGACATACACAATTTGAGCTTTTGAGTAGCATTCAGTTGATCATAGAGCATGATGCGATTAGCACGGTGGCAAAGCGCTCAATGATTATATCAATTCATGGATGATTTCGTCAAAGTGTAGAGTTCATGTATTCTAAGCTTGTGCGACGTCTTTACCAATTAGAATGTCGGACAACTTTGGACGATGTGGACGTCGATTACCTATGTCAGTTGTATACTATCCAGTGGTCTATAGAAGCTGATTTGGTAGTCTAGAGTTGAGAACTCGAGCATGCACGAAGTTCAGAATGACGGTTGGCATTAGTGTAATTCAAGGCATTCATAGATGCGTGTCCTATGTTAACACGAAGTTGAGTTTGACTCTAAATATCATCACAGAACGGAATCCAGGATGTAGTATCCTAGAGTAGTACCCGAGGGAGTGCCAAATTTTCCATCAACCTAGTTAGTTTTGAAATTGGGTGCTAATGGTGTATACAACGGCGTGTCGGATTGCAGCAAATAAGAAGAATGGAGATGGAAGTATTGCCAGGAGTATCGGGACTTAGGGTACAGAAGATTGGAAGACGAAACGACTCCTAAGTTGTTGTAACCAGGAAGTTTGAGGCTTAATTGTTGCCGAAAATTTAAGATCCAGTATTTGAGTGGCTCTGTCATCCTTCGAGATCATGTATCTGTCCAGCGAGAGGCCTCCCAGCCTGGGGCCTATCATGACTTCAATGGCCCAACCTATGGAACAAGGTACGCCATAACGAAGTGACGGATGCGCGCTCAATGTTTTGTTCAATCATCTGTCAAGATCTTCTGTATTCATATGTTTTCGCACAACCTAGCCCGGACATACTGGAATAGTTAGTGATAAACTCCCAAGCGGACTAATCAATGTAATGTACGCCGTAGAAATCGTCGATGTGTAGTTGAGATTGTAACTTACTCTAGGTTATCCTGTCTTGCAGTGGAGAGGAGGAGCCTCAACTCTGAACTATGGCATGCTTGTGCGGGACCCTTGGTTTCACTACCTCCTGTTGGTAGTCGGGTGGTTTATTTTCCTCAGGGACACACAGAGCAGGTAGTCTATTTTTCTTGCAGTTTCGTAAGTGCCCGATAAATGCAAATCCACTGTTACAATGGACATGCATGGGCATGAATTTCTAGTGTTCCTTACATAGTCATTCGTTTCGTCATGGCAGGTTGCAGCATCAACGCAGAAGGAGGCCGATGCTCATATCCCCAACTATCCCAACCTTCCATCACGGCTTGTCTGTCTGCTTGACAATGTCACGCTTCATGTATATCCTCTCATTCATACTACATTTGCATGGTATTAAGATCTTGATGCCCTGGACAGGTATGAGAGGCGCTAGGTTTTGTGCAGATATTCATCTATTAATAACCATACCTTGGTTATATAATCTGAGAATTGACTGGTTCTTGATGGGTTTTTAATGAAGGTGTGACCCTGCCTTGTTTTCACCCGTCGCAACTTGCTCCCACAGGCTCCTAACTATCGTTGAGTGTCTCTGTTATGGTTGTATCAGGCCGATCTTGAGACGGATGAAGTTTATGCTCAAATGACATTGATACCCGTACTTCCTGCCGTGAGTAATTAATAAATCTCACTTTCATACAAATTATAGTGCGATGTAACGAGAGTGATGGTCTCCCTTTTTAGGGCTATCGAAGTGATCGTGAAAATGTACTGCAACTCCTGAAAATGGCTATTAAATATTTTCGCGATGTACTCTTATATCCATGCAGTCGGTTAAAGTAATATCCTTATCTAACATTTTGTAGAATGAGAAGGAGGCTCTCATTTCTCCCGATATAGGAATGAGAAGCAGACAGCCGACAGAGTACTTCTGCAAGACCTTGACGGCCAGTGATACTAGCACTCATGGCGGCTTTTCTATTCCGCGGCGAGCTGCCGAGAAAGTCTTCCCTCCTCTGGTACTTGAGAACTGCTACACTCTCAATAAACCAATCATGTCTTTTAGAGATTGTATTATTTCTGTCCAGTAATTGCTGGGCTAGTCATGACTACAACCTGAGAATGATCCTCTAACAAGATGAAGTAAATGCTTTGCAGGACTATACCCAGACACCACCAGCTCAAGAATTAAAAGCCAGGGACTTACATGATCAGGAGTGGCACTTTCGACACATATATCGTGGTACCGTGAATCTCTAGTTTCAGAATTCATGACTCTGTTTCTGAGAAGTTTCTTTGGCAACAGCTTTCCAATTTTGTAAAATGTCCTTACGCAAGTGTTAAGGACGATGCATGTAAGCGACGTATTTTCATCCTCAGTTTTCTCGCATTATCGAAATCCAATTAAAATGTATGAGGGTCATGTCGTTCTCTGTGTGTTCGCTTCAGGTCAACCACGAAGGCACTTGCTGACTACAGGCTGGAGTGTCTTCGTGAGCGCAAAAAGGCTTCAAGCTGGTGATGCAGTTTTATTCATCAGGTATGGAAGGAGGAGGATTTGTCTATAAAATTGACCTGGAGCTTTCAGTCCAAGCGAGATTTTCCAAGTGTGCAAAATTGAATGTTTTTTTGTATTTCATCAAGTTGGTGAAGAAAAACCAAGTTTCATCGACCATGTAGCCATTCACGAGCATTAAGATTTATATCTAACCACTATATCGTATACAGGGATGATAAAGGCCAATTGCAGCTCGGAATTCGTCGACAAAATAGGCAACAAACGGTGATGCCCTCGTCAGTGTTGTCTAGTGACAGCATGCACATCGGAGTACTAGCAGCTGCAAATCATGCAGCTGCTACAAGTAGCCGTTTCACCATCTTCTATAATCCGAGGTACTTTTTCTCATCACCAAATGATTCCCATAACTGCAGGTGTTTACCTGTTTTGGGAAAGTGACCATTTGTGAACTCATCTGGGTTGATTATCTTAAACTTTTCTGATTTCAATGTAGAACTCTCATTGACTACTAAATTACCTGGATCGCTCATATTGTCCTTATACTGACCACTTTCTGCAAATTATTAAAACAGGCAAAGCCCATCAGAGTTTGTCATCCCTGTTGCAAAGTACCAAAAGGCTATATGCAGTCTGCAGGTCTCAGTTGGGATGCGATTTCGGATGGTATTTGAAACCGAAGAATCCAGTGTTCGAAGGTACACCTTCTTTGTTCACTCAGTCAATCTCTTCGGGTCGTTTTATATATTTGATTCTGTGTAGGTTTATGTTATGCGCTTTTTGGGTTGAGCTTGTTATCATCTCTTTTACTTATAATGTTCTGAACTGCAGATACATGGGTACAATCACTGGGATGGGTGATTTGGATCCTATTCGTTGGCCCAACTCTCACTGGCGCTCTTTGAAGGTACTCTGGCGTTCAAATTTATTTTTCCAGACTTGTGTTTGTAGTTGATTCGACGTGTAGTGAAACATTTTCAGATGCTTGAGAAATTGAGAGAGTAAAGCCTTGGCGTCGTACTTCTCGAACACCTTTGTGCCAATTTCCATCGTAGTACTGTGTACTACTTGCATCGCATGTTAATCCATTTTAGATGTATGTTCACAATCGCCTATCTTGCAGGTTGGTTGGGATGAATCGACCGCAGGTGAGAGACAAAGGCGAGTTTCACTATGGGAGATAGAACCATTGACAACACCGTTTCTTCTGTGCCCTCCACCCGTTGCTTTCCGAACAAAACGCCCTAGAGGCGGAAGAGGTTAATTTCTTGTGCCCCACCTGGCCTTCAAGTCGGAATGTTATTAGCTCCTAATCTTTATGTGTGGTCTACTGTGATGGTCTAGCGATGTTGAAATGTGGAATTGTTATTGGTGTGCAACAGACGAGGAGATAGACTCCACGTCGAAGAAGTCATCGTTCTGGTCAGGGGACGAGGACACTGGTGTTCTGGGAGGATTGAATTTTCGAAATCTGTCCATGGATTCTTGGATGCGGCCTCAGCAACCTGGGTTACCAACGCAACAGAATGAGTATTACCGAGCGCTTGCAGCGGCGGCTCTTCAAGAGTTCCGGACTCCGGATTGTTCAAAACACCCGACATCTCGTTCTCAACCGTCTATTTCCCCACAAATGCAATTTCGTTCACAGCCACAAATGCAATCAGGTCATCATGGAGTGCAACATGTGTCCGAGGCATGTGGACCATTGCTTCAACTTTCATCAAGTCGTCCTCAGTCTCCCCTTGAGGTTGGTATGAATATGCCACAATGCTCAGGGTACAGCGAAGAGGACATACAGATGGCTTCATCGCCCTCTGCCTCTGGGTCATATCCTCTTCACTCCATGCTGGGCCGAACTCACCTTGGGTGCGAAACTGGACAAGTTGGGCTCATGATGCGCCCAACTCAAAATGCTCAACAAAGCCAATCAGGGCCCATCCTTCATGGAGGAAGTACTATTGGCCACGAGCCTCAGGTATTTGGTTGTAACTCTTTTTCGACTTTCGTTCTCAGTATGGTTAGGTAGAAGACTACAGGCCTCTATCTGTGTCGATTGTGTGCACCGTTCTCAAATGAAAGAGTTCAAGTTTCAATAAGCATTTTGTTTTATAGGACAGCGAGCTTTTTTGCCATATGCGTCATAGGCATTGTCGTCAAGAAACAAGTCCTTATTTTTTCTTTCGAACTATTCCCATTTCCTTACGAATAAATTGTGCTAATGTGTTACAGGTGTCTTCTTCTTGGTATCCGTCCAATCGAGATCCAAATCAACATGATGTGTCTGCGCGTATGAATCAGCTGGACACTTCTCCAACTTCGAGAGTTTCTGGCTCTTTTTCCCTCTCACAGCAGAGCGAGGGAAATGGTCAATCTGGGCTGACAGGAATGCCTGTACCTGCCTCATCTTTCATGTTCAGGGAGAGTGGTCAAGAGCAGGATTCAGTACAGTCTGACCGTCATCTTCTATTTGGTGTCTCTATTGAGCAGCAACCATTGGGGGCTTCAAACCCTGTTGCATCTATTCATTCTCAATCATATCCCAAAAACAAGGATGTCCATAATCGTTTTTCGGGCAACAACATGCTTCAGGGATCCTATTGCTCATCTACAATGCCAGATATTTCTACTATGAATGGCGTGGGTCTTGATGAAAATGGTATGTGTCAGAGAGGTGCACCATGGGCAACGATGTCACCTGCCCCTGTGCGTACTTTTACAAAGGTGAGGTTTGCCCAGAATATTCTCGTTCAATCCACAATGTACCGCATAAATGAGGTACATTTTTGGAAAGTCTTTGGTATTCTATGGAATTTTGGTTTATTATTTAGGTACTAAATTCACCTATTTTTATATTTGTATTGCTGCAGACATTTTCTTAAGAGGTTAGAATGCAATCAATATGTTCACTGCACGTGAGTGACATTTACTAATCAGCGTTTTGATGCTTGTTTGTCACCCAGGTCCATAAGCTCGGAAGTGTAGGCAGGTCAATAGACGTTCAAAAGTTCCAAAACTATTCAGAGCTTCGAGCTGAGCTGGCTAGACTATTCAACCTGGATAACTTATTGGACGATCCTCAAAGAACAGGCTGGCAGCTTGTGTTCGTAGATAATGAAAATGACACCCTCCTTGTCGGTGATGATCCCTGGGAGTAAGCACACAACCAATCCTACAACCTCCTACTTGTATTCTCCAAATGCTGGTCCCTCACGAATTTTAGGTCATTCTAAAGCTTGTGCATGGACATTGGGAGCGCTCTTCTTGCAATCACATGATTTGATTTTGTCGTGCGTGCTGGTTTTTCTGCAGGGAATTTGTTAATTACGTACGATCTATCAAAATTCTGTCGCCAAACGAAATACAGCAGATGAGGCAAGAGCAACTTGAAATTTTGAACACCGTCCCGATGCAGCAGCGCCCCACTTGCAGCAATTCTGAGGATGCCCGTACACAGACGTCTCCTCCCAACACCTCCACGTTGTCCTTGGAGCATGGACACTCCGGTCCCGGATGAGAAGGAATTGGATCTCTTGACCCACAAATAAATGAACCTGTCACTGCAGTTATTTATTCAATAGTGTGCTACCTTGAAGACCCTAGCTCTTAGTATGAGAGCATGCCACTCAGTACGGCAACGAAGATGAAACTGTGCTGCAGTTAACAGAGCTTTTCTACAGCGAAGAGCTTGCAAGAGGTCTATTTATTTTTAGTTCGTTCTAACGTACCCCATGAAACCGGAGTGAAGGAGCAGAGGAAAGCAACAGTCTGTAAAGAGACTAATTGCCAGATGACCTGCGGCTTACAAGTACGGTTATAATTAGCAACTTTGAGCAATCGTCTCTATACTGCTGCAATTTATGCGAATAAACGAAGGAGATTGAGGAGCTTCTATGAACGCTACCTTGCGCTAGTTTTGGAATCACTCCCTGGTTACCAACCTTGTAAGTTAGATTTTGAACATTTGGTAAGTTGTAGACTTGAAGAGATCTTTGCATGAAAGCTGGGCTATGCTATATCCTTATGCTTGGCAGCCTGGAGTTCATATGAGCTCTCTTCCGAGGTATAGTATTTGGGCATTTTCTTTAGCATCTTGCAATGATTAGAGTGTTTTTAAAATCACACTTATGCCATAGTCGCAGAAGGATTGCCTAGCGGAACCAGTGCAGCACAGTGAGCTTTAATCTCCACTGCATGTGTCACAACATAATTGTTGCGCAATGTCTAGAAAATGGAGACTTAGCATATTTTTATGCTGAAAGTAAGTAACAGTTATGTGCAGTGACACATCAGAAAGTTCTTTTAACGTGAAATGAGGATCATTGTATAACTTTATTTGAGAGATTCAATGGGAATGATTTCGTACAATCAAATTGACTCATTTGCCACGTTCGTTCTAACATTTTGAAGTATTCTTGAAACTTCTAGTAAAATATTGAATGCTACTGTATAACCAAGTTGCACACATTTATTTTTGGTATTTGTTTTTGGAAGTTCTTGGTCTGGATTCTTAGATCAATCTCTTGCTTAACATGCGGATATTATGATTGGATTGGTGTATAACATGAACAAACCTTTATCAAACTACGTTTACATATAAATGATCAGTGAAGCATTTAAAGCATATTCCCTTGAAAATACAAACTAAAGGACTGAACCTTATGATAAATCATTTATATATTTATACATCAAATGCTTGTAATAGTATATTGAAGGTTCTTATCAATCCATAAGTAAAGTACCAAAATATTCATACAATTAGTGAATTTCTAAATGATTGTTTGGAATCTGCACATGAAATAACGACATAATTTCAGTGAGCTGTATTGCTTTTCGTAAAATCCCATATGTAGTAAAATTCATACCAACTGTGTAATTTATACAATATGTTTTTATAAATGTTCAAGGCTATTGTATAGTAATATGAATACTAAAAGTATTAAAAATGTATCCCTATCATAAAGTTACAATTGTTGCTTCTAAAATATAAAAAAATTTAATATACAAGTATTGTCAAAACTTCTCATATTTGATACATTTTTTCAAATGATTCATTTTAATATTAACAATTTTTTGCCAAAACCAAAAAAATTGATGTGTAAAGATTAATTTTATTTAAATTATGTACTTAATATTTATTGATTTTGTAGAGTTTTTTGAACAACAGCCACAGTAATAAACAATCAAAATGGACTTGCAAGTAATAATTTTATACTTGAAATCACATTACTTGTGTTTTTACAAAGTTAGATTGATAACAAATATTTTGTTTGCAAGTGTGAACAAAAAATCATGATTAAATTTAGAAGGATGTGACTAAATATAGTAACATTGCTGAATTCTTACAATTGTTCTAAATATTTAGAAGGGCTTAACTTGGTGAATTGAAGGACTTGCATCACATTCAAGGTGGAGAATTAGATGCTTTGAAATTTTCAACTAATACAAGCAGTTTACAATTTTTGGAAGGTATATGTAAAGGAGGTTATAAACAAGTTAATAAAACCAAGTGGTTCGGAATTTTCAGTGCATGTTGTGATCTAAATCCTAATAATATTCTAGTTAATATTATAAAAGACAAAATTTCAAACCATACTATCCAATTATCAAACTGATTGATTTTGGAATTTCTAAGGTTGATGTTGGATAGAATCCAAAAATTAGAGAAAACAATTATATTTGTGCTACATTGGGATATTTGGCTCTTGAAGAATTAAGAAATTTTAATAAATGAATATATTTATTTATTTATTTATTTTTGAGTAGATGTTTATTTCATTTGTAATAATATATACTAATATTCTTTCAAAAAAAGAACTATTTGATGGTATCTACAAAAAAATAAGATATATTAGAAAAAATTCAAAATGGAGAAAGATCAAATTTACCTTCAAAGTGTGAAGAATTGATCCAATTGATTATAAAATATTAGAGTTGAAATCCCTCACTATGTCCAAAATTTGCAAGTATTTGTGAAAGATTGTTCATGTTGAAGAAAAAGATTTTGATAGAACCTTGTATAAATAGAAAATATTTTATTGGTGCATTTTAAACAATATTCACCAAGAAATTTAATAATAAGATAAATATGGTGGATTACTATAGGTAATATTTATAATTATTATATTTTAATTTACAAATTAAAATAATATGAGTAATTTAATTATATATATATATTTATAGCTATGATATTTATATGCCAAAAAACAAAGATGTCTTTGAAAAATTAGATTAAATATAAACATATACATTATTTGGATGTTTTGATTTTTAAATTGTGTTCTTTTGTAGGTAAATTATAATAGAAGTTTTACTATCATGCATGAAAACTACAAATGTAATAAGTCTTCTTGGCATGAAAAGAATATGCGAGACTACCATTGCAAAGAGTACAATTTATGATATAAAAACCATGTGTAATGTCTCATGCTTTATTAAAAGTGTTAAAGATAGTAATGATAGCAATGAAATATCTTGCAAAATTTTGGAACAATTTAAAAAAAATTTAAGCCTTAGAGCTTGGAAGAAGCATAATATCTCTTAAAATCACTTTTCACTAATTTTTTAATTTTTTTTTATTATAGTTCTAAATGATGTAAATCATCCAAATCTAATCAAAGATATTTTGTTTACAAATATTTTATATGCTAGCAATGGTAGCACATTAATTTTTACAATATAAAATTAAAAAATAATTATTCACTATTCTAAGGTGGTTTTTAAAATAGATGTTAATGAAATTAATAAAGATACAAATTTAAAGTTATTTGTGACTCATTCTTATGGATACCAAGTTGAGTTGCCAAATATATTTATTGAGGTTGGCAAAAAAAGTTATGAAAATTTACAATAGATTATCTTTAAGATTAAAAGTCATGGATGCATTTTCAAGAAAACAAAAGAAATTAAGGTATTGGAAGTAAGTTTTACAAAGATTTTCAAAAAAAATATGTTTACATAGAGATGAAGAAAATAGTAACAATAAACTTTGGAGTGTTTTAAGAATAAGCTTTCATAGCTTAAGAAATAAAAAATATATATATTTAAATATATGTTATTTTTTTTAATATTGATGTTTTTCCATAAGACATGTTAAAAGAAAAAATATTGAAATTACAGAATATTAATGAAATAAAATATAGAATTTATAATAAATATATTGATTTATCAATTATTAATAAAAATAGACAAAGATAAAATTATAAGAATTCATGATCAAATACAAGATATGAATATAAAGATTACTAAAATTAAAATAAAGTATAAATATACTTAAATATAAAACTTGATTATAAAGCCATTTTATAAAAAAGATAATTTACTTAAATATTATCTAAATAGCATATATAAAAATTACAAGAATGAAAATACAATTAAAAGAAGCTTAAGAATGACAAAAGACCAATGTGGATGTTTATTATAAGAAATTATATTCTTTATTCTACATTGACAAGAAGGTATGATTACTTTGTCTCAACAGCAAGTTGTAGCCTTGGACCATTTTTTTATTTGAGAAAAAATCAATTCAATTGATTATTAATTACAACTATCAAAGTCTATGAAAATCCATCTCATATTCTTTGTGTCTCTTCTTAAATCATATAAGATAATGAATATCTTGGAAAAAAGACAAATGCCACTTCTTTTTGTAGAATCAAAAGTTTAAAGTAGAAGAAGTCTTAATTTGAAGGTGATGCCAAATTAGGTTAGAATATTTTTTTCATAGGCACAAATATGATAATAGTAAATGTACATGGGAGCCAACAAAGAATCTTGCAAATACAACAAAGAAAGTTGATACTTCTCATCAACAACATCCATTAAAATCAAAATGAAGAATGATAAATCTTTGCAATAAAAAGATATATTTTAAAAAAGATTGCATTTTAAATTCTATCTTTGCTTGTACTTTAAATGTGGCACTAAAAAAAACAAAGAACCAACAACTAGTAGATTCAATTCAAGAGTTATCATTTGTTAACTTATTAGACAAAACATTGCAATTGTCATAGCCTTTAAGATGATATAATAGACATGAAGATCTTCAAAAATGACATGTTTTTCTTCAAATAAATGGCTAAATACAATATGTTTGATATCATGACCTTGGAAGAGACTTCCAAGGTTTGGTGATTTTATTGAATATAAGAATGGCTCATAATAGTATTTAAAATATTTTATTTGAAGGAGTTATAAAGGCCTTAATAATAATCAAGTAACATAGTAATCTTTTTATTCTTATATGAGATACTAATATTGGCTAAGAAGATCTATCAACCATTTTCAAAAGAAACAAAGATTAGAATATGTGGCAAACATAATTCACTATATCTTCGACTTTTCAACATATGATAATTTTTTTCTTATAGAACTTGTCCCTAGAAGGAAAGATAATATCACAAACATACATATTTACTTAGATAAGAAGTGCTAGATAGAAGATAAATATATTTAGATTTGATATTATTGTATACTGAAGCTTCTTAAAAGCTTTAAAAACTCATATTTTACTTTATACATGTTTATAATTGATTGATAGGTTAAAAAATTGGCCAATAAGTTAGCCATGTATTGCATATTGTCGTAGTAAAAGACTTCTTATTTGAAAATATATTAGGCACATGATTGTGGAAAGTGAAGTCATATATTGTAATTATCTAAGAAATCCTAATAAGTTTCAACTATTAAAAAAGAAGCAATTTGAATTTCAATGCAAAAGGATTTAAAGTCAATGCAAAAGGATTTAAAGTCAATGCAAAGTATTCAAAAACACTCTTCTTAATTACCTCAAGTAAATACAAATCCTAATTGTCTTGTTATTTACTTTTTTTATAACTTCCAATTTTTTCTCCAAACCTTAACTTTAGGAAGTGAGCTTCAATTAGTTGTAATTCTTGATCCAAGTGTCTAATTGATGCAAAATATTTCATAATAATAAAATAATACATCTTTTATACACTTAAAAAATTTCAAGTCAATTCAATTAAAAAATTATGAAAAAAATACAAAAGAACCGTGTTAGTATTCCTTAACTACCAACTTGAAGGTTGATGATGAAGTTTGAGCAATAATTTCTTTAAATTCAATCATTAACTTTAGTTCCAAATTGGTACGTAGCTTCATATGTTAGTCTACTAAAACCATGCCAAATTTCTCTTTATATCAATAAGTAGATCTTTAAATATCACAAAAATCCTACCTAATCCTAAATTGTCAATTTTTAATATCTCTTTGTACTAATAACTAAATATCTTTAAATTTCATTATTATATTAATACAAAAGTTCACAAAAAATTAGCACACCTATTCAACTATGCATTGACAAAATTTGAACTGTAGATGTTATATGTATCTCACAAACCAGTCAATAGTACTAATTCT